AATCTTTCACGGAGGTGGACAGAGATTCGTAATGGTTTATTATCTTCACACTATCGTTTAGGTAGCAACAATAACATACCGTTTTTTCTATTTTTTTTTTATTCTAGCCATAGTTTTGGTTGACGATCGGTCGAATAAAATGAATGGAAAGTGTAACCAGTTATAGGCCGAATGATAGCGTTTATTTCATTTATACGGCTAATTATATTAAATGCTGCTACTTAATAAACTGTTTTTCTGATAACGAGTGTACTACGCGCTATTCATTACGCGTGTAGCGAAATTACCCCATGATCAGGAAAATCTCAGTAGATGCGAATAAGGCTATTTCCGAATTTTATAACGTCGCTACGCGTGCTCCACTTTTAATTATCACTCGTCTCAGGATATACTTTTGCATTTCTTGTTTGCTTCGACTTTCGATTTGACACTAAGCAATTGTTTTTTCTCAAATCTCAGGGTCTTTTTTCTTTTTTTGTCTTCTAGTTCGTGTCGAGTATTTAATTTCGATATTTTGCTTTTCTGAGACAGTCATGGATGCGCCACGATACCAACAGTCCGAGTTGTATGCTTCCACTGTACTTATGTGTTTGTACGTCTACCCTCTCTCCCTCTCTCCATCTCCGCGTTGTTCCTTTAACAATTTCCTCTTCCTGCCCCTGGCCTGCTCGCTTGTCTCAGCTTCGCGCAGACGGCCGTGCTGCATTGTCGGGCCAGTGATATATCGTGGGCTAACTGCGGCCTGCCCCAGCAAAGATACATTGACAGAACAAAAAAATAAATGAATAAAGGAACAAAATAATCGGCGACAGAAGTTCGGGCCACTACCACAAGGAGCGGCCAGGGCGCCACGGTCGCTTCGCTTCCCTCCCGATCCCGCTCTCTCTGCCACTCCATCCAGCCACACCTCTCGGTGCTTTCTTCTTTCCCCCTTTCCCTCTTTCGTCGCGTCCCCCTCTCCCTCCCACGACCAGCCGCTCGCGCCGCGAATCTTCTCCAAGTCCGCTCTGTTCAGATCAGCGGAGCCAGCCTTGTAACTAGGTCCGAAAGGTTCGAAAGGTCGGTCGGTGCCGAGAGTGAGAGTTCGGTTGTTTTTTTTTTGACGGTCCGACGGCGAACGGTACCGTGACGGCGAGACGGATGACGGATTGAACGCGGCTGTGACGCATCTTCAAAACCGTCACCTTTCATATATTTTTTAAAGTTTGTTAGTAACTTACGCTGTCGCGTGACGAGACGCTTCGCATCTCGCGTGCGTACCACCTGACACTTGTTGGCTACGTTGCGACGTTACGGCTGAACGCGCGTGTCCAAAAATATTTTTGACGGTGGATTTCTTTTTGTTTTTTTTTGGTGGGGATGGCGGTGGCAGATTGAAGAAGTCTGATCGTGAATCGCGTGACACGGAACCTGACGTGACCTCCGCCCGAAAGCTGCTAGAGGAGTTTGGGAAAAGTGCGGCATCGGCGTCCGATCTGTGTTGTTGCTGTTGGCCTGACATCGTCGTCTACTGTGTGTGCGTGCGCGGCGAAACGTTCGTGTGAGTTACGGGACGGAGTTTGTGCGTGCTCGAAGTGATCGGAGGGGAATTTTCGTTGAGAGGAGAAGCGAGATTCTCGCTGTGGTCTTTTTCCGGTTCTTTTATTCATTTTAGGTTCGGTTACGACCGGCGTACCTTTTGAGGTTGTATCCTTCTGCCGAGAGGTACGTTTTGGAGGCCTCATTTCTTTCCATCGGAAACTTTTTCTGGCGTATTTCTTGGTGTCAGTTAAATATCTCTGGGCGAGTTAGCGCAATTGCTGACGGTCGTTATTATAGTGTTCGTTTCTTTAACTGTCTAAAAAATATTAGCATTTTTTTCTTTGCAGTTGGCATCGATAATATTTTTCGCGCATCTTTGGCTAGTGTCTGTAGTTTTGGTAGACACTTGCTTTTCTGTTTACAAAGCGTCTTCTGATCAACACAGTCTTCTTCACTTACGGGAACGGAAAACTAGCTCAACTGATCGTATTCTTTTTTAAATACTTCAAATAATATAACTGGTATATTGTTGTAAAGAATATATTGCAACAATACCAAGGCGGTGTTTTGGTATCTATAGAAATGGTTTTGAGTTTATTCGGGGCTTCATTTATTCCGTATTGATTCGTCTTAGTGGGATCATTCCGAGTCAATTTGATTTTGTGCCTCGGTGCTCTAAAAAGCGTTCTTTCTTCCTTTCTTTCTTTGTTTCTGAAGCAGATAGGGCTTGAAAGGAAAGCGAGCATTGAGTGGAACTCTAGTTCGGAATCCTAATTCTCCTTCGAGGCGTCGTACATCGGATTAGAAAGGAACCCTTAGCATCCGGTTGTTTTTCTAATACGTGTTTGTGCCGTATTGAGGTATCTCGTGCCCTTTTGTAGTCGGTACCAACATTTCAACTTGGGCGTTGCTGCCCTTTGTTCCGATACTTCCGAATTCGGTTGAAGCGGCAATTTTCCAATCTTGATAAGTTCCTTCTTTTTTTTGTGTGTGATTTAATTTTTTGGAGGGTTATCTGGGCGGCTTCGCATTTTTGGTGAGGTCCAACGCTCTCACGTTCCACTGATCCCGCCTTCGCTTCAAACCGTTAATAATCTGCATTGCGTTTCCTCCTCTCACCTTTTGATGGGACTTTCAGCTTCTTAGGTTGCCAAAATTATTTTCTGTAGCAGCACATTAAAAGGAACCCCAGTATATCTCGTTCTTCAGTCCTGTTTACTTCTCTCGAGGGGTACGTTTTCAATAACATTTCGCTCAACGTTTGTTTTTTTTTTTTTTTTTTTTTTTTTTTGCTGAAACGAAGGTGATTACGCTTTAGCTCGTCCTTTTTTTTTTCGAATTTCCGATAGAAATGCAAAGTCCACATTAATAGTTAAACCTACTTTAGTAACTCATTCGTCTGTTATATTTTCTAATCTGGTACCTCTGCTTGCGTGAGCTTCTAAAATGGTTGGCTAAACGTTTCCTCTACCATTTGAGGCTTCACAGCTTTCGGTCAGTTGTTGTCTCAAAAAAAAGAAAAAAAAAAAAAAAAACATGACAAAACAGCGATTGATGTTTTAATTATTTTGTTCCTTCTCTGTACTTCGTTGTTTCGGAGCCTCTGCTTTTGCGCACATCCGCAGGATTCATCCCGCTCACACGACAGTACAGCAGAATACGAGCATAGGTCAGAGAATAGACTTTAAATGGTCGTCTGACATTTATACGCACGAGTCAAAACTTGCGCGCTTTTGTAATATTATTAGATTTATTCTTGGAGGGTAAGGTATCTAGCGAGAAGCAAAACGGTTGTCGGTTACGGAGCCAAAAGGTTATAGCTTTGCTTCGCGCGTGAAGAAAGAAATGTTTTTTTCCTAGGCTTTTTTTTTTTTTTTTTTGTATCCATTCAAACAGTGTGAGCGTTTCCCTTTCATTACATTTCGTTTAACTTTATTATTAATTCCTCGCTTTGCTGTCCTTTCGCGTGAGGGGACGTATTTGAAGTCGAGTTTGACGCACTTCGCTGATCGAAGAGATTGGATTTATTGTCACGATCTTCGAGTTCTAATTAACAGAGTTCAGGGATCCAAGAGTCGTGACCATCTTCTGACTCGTCTATTACTCTCTTTCCTGTCGCTTGGAATTTGTAATTAAAACCGTCTTGCCGGTTTATGTAGTCCTCACTCATCGACGCGTTAAGTTAGTGTGCTTACATTAGAATATCGGGTTTGCCAGTTTTTGTTTTTTTGTTGTTTTTTTTCCTATTTGGTGTTGCGTTGTATTTTATGCTTGAAGCAACTGCGACTCGTTTCCTTTAGTTCATTTAACGGACAAGGTCTCGACGTACGGAATCAATACACGAACACAAGAAAGGTCTGCTGTCCTCTTCTAGCATTTAATTTTATTTTTCGCGGTTTTGCTTTATCTTGGGTTAAGGGTGGACTTTGTCCCATCACGTTAACACGTCGACTACAACGTCTGCGTCTGTCTTGCCAACGTACGGTAGGTCATTTATGTTACGAACAGCCGTTACAGTTGCATACTTGTCCGCTTGCCCCTCCATCCGGTGTCGTGTCACAGTGCTCGTGGTTAACTTCGATGCGGTAAGGTTTCAAGTCGACTTCGTCGATTACTTCTGTCGTGTCGACTTAGGTCGTTTTCATCACCGACAGCCGTCACGGTTGCATAGCTCTCCATTTACTCCTCCGTTTGATGTCAAGTCGTATACTGCGCTTGATGCTAACTCCGACGCAGTACAGTCTTAAGTCGACTACAGTGTCTGTTTTTGTCGTGTCGACTTAAGTCGTCTCTGTTATCGACAGCCGTTGCGGGTGCATGCATATGTGTCCGTTCACTCCTCCATCCGGTGTCGTGTCGTATACTGTGCCCGACGCTAACTCCGATCCGGTAAGGTCCGAATCGTTTGCTTCTGTCGTGTCGACTTAGATGGTCCATATCACCAGCAGCCGTTGCGATACCCTACATGTCGATTCACTCCTCCTGTCGCGTCGTATAAGGTGTTCCTCGTTAGCTCAGATCTGGTAGGGTCTTAAGTCAACTTCATCGGCGAGCTCACGACGTACCGATTCAGTGCACGCGGGCGTCACTCGTAAGAACCATCATTCCTACCAGTCGACTTCTTAAATCGCTGTCGCGACGTCGTTTTGAAGCCGAGCCGGTTCTCTTCAGAAGTCAACTCCATTCGCCAGTCTCGGCTTATTGACTAAGAAGAGCGTCTCTGACGTTTTTACGAGTTCCGTCTTCAAAACAAAGCTGTGTTATCGCTGCCACAGCATTTCCAGCGCCACTACTACTACGACTACTACTTCTGCTGCTGCCCCTTTCCTTTTCTCCCTCTCTCTCCCGTTTCCGCCCTCTCCTAAGAAGAAAGGGTGTGCGCGGAAAGGGAAGTCATCGTAACAATAACATCTCGGATAAGACTGCGGGAGGCATGCAAGAGACGTCAACGCAGCCGGCGCGGTGCCCGTGAGCCTGTTGTGCAGGGGGCCGAGCTACAGAGTGCTCCATCGCCAGCGTCGTGTGTACAACCACTACGCAGTGACAGCTTTTTTTGTGTGTGTGTGCTTGTTTCGTCCAGTGCTGTGTTGCCCCACTTAACGACCGCTGAGTCGTCGACGTGTTTTCCGTGTTGATCCCCGAAGAAGTGCGGTTTGCGTCACGAATACTTGTCGATCCTTTGACGCTTGTGTGGGTGGGTGCGTGTAGCGTGAGCAGGAGTTGGAACCGTGAGTACGCAGCGAGGATCTATTTTAATTTGCGCTCGTGGTGTTTTCGTTTGCGTGCGTGAGATTACAAAAAGGTCCTTGACTCGAGATTAAAACAAACAAAAAATCGGCGATTGGTATTGCGCGATTATCTGGCTTCGCTCGGTTCTCTCCGATTTGAGGTTCTGGTCGATCAAGTTTTGTTGCAATTGCTTTCTTTTGACCTTTGCGCGTATCTTATCTTGTCAACGATATCTCGCCTGCTCTTCCCTTTGGCTCCTGACATTGCGTTCAGTCTTGTGCAGTTTCGCCGGAGACGGGTTGGAATTTTATCTCGGATGAAGCTACCGTTCGCGCGTGCGTCAAGCGGTGTCCGGCGTCGTTTATTTCACACGTCTGACTGAGATTGAATCGCTGCAAGCGTCTCCATTTTGTCGGATAAAATTTATAACACTTAAAACGATTGGCATTTTGGGTGTGATACTTGAAACCTTCCATACTATAGGCCACATAGGACTACTTAGAGCAACGCGCTGTTGGGTTCCAATTATGAATGATGTAGGCTGTGGGACAATAACATGAGTATCGGTATAATACCGCAGTTGTTGTAAGGACACAGCTCCATTAGTTTGGCGTGGTAGTGTTGGATACCGCATTATAGTATCATGGATAACGACGTAGTTGCTCTGAGGGCGGCACAACTGTTTTTGATCCTTGGGCGCAATTAAGATTAGCTGCGCTTCTACCTTTTAATAAAAATAACGCAGTGGGTAAGCGCTTCCATTGGTTAGCTTGATAGAGTACGGTCCCATAGAAACAGTTCGTAGGCGACTTTTTTGTCCAGTCACTGCTTAGCCTAAGCGCAACGACGTCACTGTTCCCATCTACGGTTGGCAGAACACTTGTAACGCTGACACTGTACTCTTCCTTACTTGGTGCTTGCTTGCCTACCATCGCAGGGTATCGCGATCCAATCGCTGCCGTCACAATTGCGTTAACCAAAATCGATACTGAGCCTAGTCAGTGTGGTGCTTCTCAAGAAGACGCGGTCTCGGTAGAGTGGGATGCGTAATGGAGGTCTGCTAAACAAGGTTTGGGTATGACGTAGGTTGAGCACTAACGCTCGAAAACAAGTTCAGAGTACGCAGCTTGAGCACTCGAACTCGCTGGAGCAAAAGAACAGAAACCGCGAGACCTGCCCTACGCAGACGCAACAGGGGAGCCGTACCCACATCTGTGAGGCTAACCTTTCGTCCTAAACCTTCCGTTTTCTTTTATCTTATTACAAAATCGACAACAGCAACGGAGCACCTAGAAACACGGCATTGACGGCACGACAGTGAAGGGCCGTACCAAAGCTCGGCTAACAACCGTATCGGCTAGGCGAGCATCTCCCCGACGGCGATATTGGGGGAAATAATACCGTATACAGATCGAACACGTGCTGGTAGAAAGTTGCATCTTGTTCGTGGGGATTCCCCGGGGGGGAAGAACAAAGCAGCTCCGAAACACAGTCCTGGCACGCTTGCTTGTGGCATTTGCCTCAATCGCCCAGCGGCAAGGCCCTTCCATTGTTAGTGTGCGCAATAGGGCTTTCTCTCTCCCCCATTCCCGCTCGCGACAGGTGGGTGAGAGATAGATGCCAGCTGCGTTTTTCCTCGCCATTATAGACACTGCTTCGTGCTGCGGCCGACGGCAGAGTTAAGACAGGTCCGACCTGGTCGATCGTCCGTGAGTTTGTTTGCCCGCGCATCCTCAAAATCGGTTCGCTTTCAACTCGGCTCGTGGGCACGCCGGTCTGAGCCCTCTTAAAAGGGGTCAGACAGCGAAACTCGATAGAGTGCAGCTTGGTGTTGGGTGTATCTTTGGCACGGCCCTGGTGCTCTACGAAGTCCATTTGTCGTTTCTGTGCAAACTGTGCTTCGAGTCTGTTTCGTAGTGCGTGTGTGCTTCGTTGGGAGGACTTACCAGGAGGAGTTTGCGTCTTGACGTTACTGTCTACGTCTAGAGGCATCTAGTGGACGAAGGTTTGCTTGTATGTGCTCCGCGCGTCTCGTAGCCTTGGGACCCTTCGTAGTCCTCCTTTTGGGAGGTCTTTCGAATGCCCAACGAGGATACTGGCCGAAGAAGGTCACATATTCTGTGTTTCGATGGTCTTGATTCAAAAGTTCGCCGATGGTCCGTTTGTGATTTTGACGGTGGCCACAACAACTTTCAGGTTTTCTCGTTGAAGATGGTTCTCGTATCTAGTCTACTGTGTGGTTGTTATGTAATCTCGTTAGAACGCGTGTAAAAAAAAAGGAGAGACAGTGTGAGTGAAATGCAAGTTTCCTCCTAACTTACTTTTACCGGAACTAGCTTACAGAAAGAGTAGCTCGACTGCTGTCGTACACTGAAGCTCAGTTCCATACAACTTAAGCTGCGCTGGTGGAACGTTTCGAGTGATAATAAGGACTGCCCTTCGTCACTTCCGTCATGTAGTAAAGGCGATATCCACACGTAGGATCGATGAGGGCGTGTCCCTTCCGCTACGACTCTTAGAACGCCCCTATCTCAATTCAATACCGTCGATCGTGGTCGTAACTCTGTCCTCGAAATAACCTCTTTCGCGCTGGCAGTTGGAGCTGTCCGGTGAAGAGAAAAAAGAGGCGTCCAGGCTCAAGGAGTTCGACCATCCTGCTTGAGCAGCAGTGGCGAGTAGAGGCCGCGAGAGAATTGGCCCAAGTTGGAACCGTTTGAGTCACGCCCGACCGCTCTTAAGAGGCATGCCCCCCACCACCCCGTGCCAGCAAGGCGTAAAATCGAGCTGAGGGCACCGCAGTAGCGGCCTGATTTACCGACACCGTAAATTGCATCGGGCTTTCCAAGTAAAAACCAGCAGAACATCAACAACTCGTACTACTGTAGGTTTGTTTTTGTTGTTATACTCCTTGTGTCGATTTTTTTGTACGTTCCTGGACTGCTCGTTTGTGCGGGCTGTAGATTGCGTAGCGCTCTTTCTCTTTCCGCAATTTTTATCGGTCCTTTTTTTTTTTTCTCTCTTTACGTCGCTGATACACGCTGGCTGCCTGCCACGGCGCGTTCCATACACGTCTGCTCCGACGTCCTCGTTCTACGGTATAGTCTCGATTGTCTTCAGATCCCTGGGGGCCGTTTCTCTCGTCGAAGACAAGTACCCGCAGGGTTCGAGACCCCGAACCAAGGACGTCCATCTTCTCGAGTGATTCCTTTTTCGCTTCGTCATCCGCAGTGACAGATCGACAGCCGAACAAGAGCGAAACGCGGCGACAAGTGCGTGACCCGTTGAGCGACGCTTCTGCGGTGGACACGTACTACCAGAGAGTCATCGAGGACTTGCGAAAGCATCCAGGAGCGCGTTGTTTCGTCCACGTCGACCTGTTGGAGACCCAGTGCCGATCCGTCTGGCGGCATGTGTGCAGCACCCGCACGTCTTCTAGCGCCGACCTTTAGAAGCTCCGCCGCTGACGTCTTAGGCGCGCAAGACGGCGGTCAGTCCCTCGTCACTGCTGACTCCTGTGCGGCCCTTGACGCCGTTCGGATCGCGGACCACTGCTGCCGCTGCAGTTTTCTTCTTCCGTGAGTGCTTGGAGGATACCGCCGGGCGGCATGTTGAAGCCGCCGGAAGTGAGGCTCGAGCTCGAACCGGAAGTGTGTGTTACGGGACCGGAAGTGTGCGTTCCGGAAGCCGAGAAGCCGCAGCGAAGGGCCGGCCCGACGCCGCTGTTCCTGTGCGTGCCGGGACAAGCGTCGGCGCCGCGCCGGAGACACTCTTGGATATGCGGGTGAGCTGACTTTGACCTTTTGCCGAATTAATTTGTACGGTGAATTAGTTGCTGGATGTAGGGGTCTATTCGATAGGTTAACTGGTACGGGGGACAGGCACGTAGCCAGGATTTTGTTCGGGGGAGGGGGGGCTGCGGGGGGAGGGGGGGGGGGGGGGCTCGCCCATGACAAAATGCTGTATGAGGGGGAGGGGTAAAGGAGGACCCAGCAAAATGGAAGATTTCGTAGGGGCCCTATGCCCCCCCACCCCGGGCTACGTGTTTGACGGGGGATTAGTTCCCGGTTTAAAGGGTCTATTCGTTGGATTAATACGTCTGTTAGATTAATTTCTGGACTGCCTGGTCGTCTGGAATAATTGCTGGATTACGTTTTATTCGCGGGATTAATTGGTATCTTGAATTTATTGCTCGATTAAGTGATATGTTCACCGAAATAATTGTTCTATTTTATTAAGTGCTGGACTAAGCTGTCCATTCGTCGGGTTTCTTGATCTGTTTAATTTATTGCAGCATTTAATGGTTTAGCTGCCGGATTCATTAGCCTTCTGGAATAATCGCTGGACTAGTTGGTCTATTCGCCGGATTAATTGGTATGTGGGATTATTTATTTTTAATTGATCTATTTACCGGATGAATTTGTCTGTTATACCGAACGTAGAATTTACAAGTCCCGTTAAGATAGGAGGAAATAACAGAAGGTGCGCTTTATCAATGAATGTTTTGCATAGCAATTCGCTTCGCGGCTACTGTAAACAGCAGTGGGCCGGTGTAACTCGTCAATTTGTCGGATTGTGATCATGTTTTATTAATGACAGTAGATTATAAGTAGTGTTATTAAAAAAAACGTCGAACATGTGTGTACGTGCCAGCTATTTTACGATGTCAATGAGTGTTTTTTTTTTTGTTTACTTAATGTCACAAGATAACTGAATTATTAGCTTTGAGATAGGGCAGCTTTCACGGCGGTTATTTCTTAGATGAGCAAAGTGCCGTTACAGTCAGACGACGTCGTCCAGGGACGGCACAGCTTAGATTCAAGTTTTGATGGACCGCGCAGTGGGATTTATGGCGAATCTTGTTTGGCTGCTATAAATGATAACTATTACACTGACACATTGAGATGACACAGGCGGATCGTATGTAGAGAATTCGTATAGCTTAACTAAACTATGTGCGTTTTTTTAAAAGACGCGACAGTACGCAGGTGAGCTGAACTATTGACGTCATAATCGCAATATCTGAAAAGAGGGGAAACACGAAATCACGTGTATTGCGCTAACCAAAAAGGACTGTACTTATTCGAGTGTAGGCTCTATGTCGGAACAAATACATAAAGAGCAGTGTTGAAATGCCTACGTAGATCCCCAACAAATCGACTACACTCGCCGCGTTGAAACGATGATGGCCAGCCTAATGCTTACCGGGCATCGCTGAAAGGTTTTACGCCTTTCATTTTTTTTTTTCAATCCTTTATTATTGTCTATCGCCCGAGGAGGTGTAGTGACAAGACATGGATCCGGTAGTGGCTATTCTGCAGGTTCAGTATTGGGGGGCTGAACAGAAGTCGGCAATAATCGGTTGCACAACTGAGCGCGGTTGCCGGTTCGAGGTCGTGCTACCGTGCTCACGCAACTCGCCTAATTGCTCTTCGCTGGCCGCAACTGGTAATTTCGATCGTCGTAATCGAGGAAACGGCGGCCGACGTTTTGTGCTTGGAAGCTCCGTCGAAGCCCCGGGCTATTCGAGGCAGGTGTATTTTTGGGAAAGCAGGCGTATACTCGTAACCGACGCGTATGGGTAAGGTAGTGCAAAATATGACAACAAAATTTAATTTCAATGCTAATTGTTACTTTTGCTTTAGTATTAAAAAAAAACACAGTGCGGAGGTATGTTTACGTGTCTTGACCCTGTGCTAAGTAGATATTACTTAACTGGAGCAAGCGAAACATTAAACAAAACTACAATATCTGAAAGTCACACAATGACTCGTTTTGCCCCTCCCTGTGGGGCAAAACGAGGGAACGTAGTGGGCTACAATGAGACACGCTTAAAAAAAACCTAATGTGCGTTCAACTTTTGCAATAAAAACACTCGAAACACACTGTGCGAGCTCCGAGGCTCTCTTCATGAGCCCCCTGCTTGAAATCCCATGCACTCGATCCATACTGAATGCGGGGCTGCCGGGCTCTATACGTTCTTTAAGTACCAGGGACTGCCAGTGTCTTGTGATGCGCATCACATGGTCTGCAGAACGGTCGGACACTAATAATCGTTCTCATCAATTTCACGTGTGTTCTTCTCTTGTTCCTTTTTTTTTGGGGGGGGGGGGGGGCTGTGTAACCTCGGTTTTCGGTTGTTTTTGCCAACATCAGCTTTGCCTTGTGGGAGACGGGGTTAGAACGGTGCGCTGCTCTCCGACCCGCTTTTTTCCCTTTTTCTATTCTACGTTATAGGTACAGCTGGAATGTTCTTGAAACTTGAAACGTCGGAAAGAACGCGACTTCTGTTGCCCAGCCGCTTTTGTCTCCTATAAAGAGTATTCACTGGGCGCCATATTTGTGGGTGCTGTTTAGAGCGCATGCTCAGAAGGAACTTACATTACTAGTTTGCTAAGACCGGCAATCTTGATGGTGTGGAATGCACGTTGCAAAAGTACTGTGGAAGCTCGCCATGAGCATGCGCTCAGCATTCGCGCACACAGCTATGGCCGCCAGTGAATACTCCCTATAGCTTCTGCCACGCTCGCACTTAAAGTAAAACGGAGTATAGCTGGTGCTGAAAGGTGCCAATGAATGTAACTACAAAATGGTGTTCCTAGGCTTCACCTGCATCGTTTAACTTCTGACTAATTTTCTGCTCGGAAGTAGTTTTTTTTTTATTTTGTGATAAAACCTTTGTCAAAATGATCTGACATCACTTTAAAACTACAATTCTTGTCTTCTATTGCTCAAAGTTTTAGCAAGTAGCCTTATCAGCTTTCAAGTACCCTGATGGAGACAAAAAGTTTCACTCCTGTAACGGAAACTATTCTTTTTTTTTTTATCTATATAAATTATTTTTGATATGCCAGGCGCTATCTAAAGTGATACGTTCTGAACTTTGAAACTCGTTTATCACAGTTTCATTTTTTTTTCTTCATTCTCAGTTCGAGAAAACTATCATTTAATAATGATTTGATGTTTAAAGCAGATTTTTTATGTTTCTGTACCGAAATTTTGTAAAGATCATGGCATTAAGCTTACTTTCTGCACTTCCATGGTATTTTCTTACGACAAAACTGCAACATCTTCAACCTAATGCACGCAAAAAAAAAAAAAGCATGAACACTTTTTTTTTACATTTTTGTTTCGCATAAAAATTGTATCGTTTGTGTTTTTTTATATATATATATATATAGCTGCGTGAAATGTGTGTTAAACTATACATTTCACCCAGGAAACTGGCAATGATGGTCACCTAATCGAAACAATAGTTTTCCTCAGGAGCGCAGTGTTCATTTGTTGTCCTTTTACATGACCCTTCGAAGCATAAATTTCTAAGCTTAAAACGTTGCATTTCATCCTCTTTTCCAGCTCTTAATATGCCCCGCAAATTTTGTACAAGTAGGAATAACCGTCGAAACACCTGGGGGAGGCTTTAAACTTCGCCTTTAAGAGTGAAACACGACAGGGTTTTTGGACCACGTTCGCAAAGCCTTCTCATGCGAACCTCCACTCGTTCCCCAAGCCGTGCAAGCGTGTGTGCGTGGTCTAGTCCGTAGCGTCACGTGCCACGTGACGTCACAGGTGGTTGTGACGTTAGGACCCTAGCGACCCGCTAAATTTCACAGCAAACTTTTCCACTAAATATGGCGGGAAAATGTTCCCGCCAAATTTAGTGGGTCGATAGGGTCATAACGTTACAGCACCTTCTTTGAGCGGTCCCGATATTTATGATCATGTTCATGTTCAATCATACGCGTATACGGTAATGTCCACCGTCACCTAACAATCCTAATGTTTTGTTTTGTTTTCTTGGATAGTTGGACTTTTATGAACAGTACCGGAATACATTATTGCCCGATTTCCCTCCCCTTCATGAAAGCGTTACACGGCGCACCGCGTGTTTGGAAAGAAAGAAGATAACCATGTTGTTGCTTCCTTCCGCGCAAAAACAAAAGTACGCGTAGCCATGCTCTCAGACAGCGGCGAAATGTTCATCGCTAGCAGTTGATTCATTATGCCAAAGTTTCAGAACTTACTGTTCCCTCATTTCAAAGTTTCCAGCTATTTGTGGAAAGTTTTAATGAGAAAATGGCGGCCAATGGAGCCAGTGAATAGATGGGGACGAACGGCGTCTGGCTACCGGGAATAGGTTCCACCTCCTCGTTTAAAAGTTTCTAAAATCGCTTATAACTTTTGAATCAAAATACGGCGAGTCCTGAAACTTTCGCATCTTTTTCTCCAAACGTCAGGCAACCCGTTTATTTTTTTTCATTCTCTTTTGCAGTGAGGCCATTGGGTATTTACAGGAATCAACCTCTGGATGAGATTTTTTTTGTTTGCAAGCTTTTAGATGTTGACAAACTATCTATCATACACTCTAAAAATGTCTGTGCGTCTACTTTCCCGCACAACACTCGGAGAACCAATCACCGCAACTTACGAAGGCAGCTCAGTGAATGACGATGCCGAAACATATTTTTAGACCAAAAAACGCAGTCTGAGTTGTGACATTAAGCAATGCAAAACATCACACTTGCATTCCTTAATGTCACAACTCAGACTGTGTTTTTTTTCATCTAAACAGATGTTTCGGCATCGTCATTCGCTGAGGCTGCCTTCGCAAGTTGCGCTGATTAATTCTCCGAGTGTTGTGCATGGAAGTAGACGCACAGACATTTCTTAGAGTGTATACGTATGAGGAATGCCGAGCGTGCGAGGTGCGAGCGCGGTGCTTGTATGTCGTGCGTCAATGGGCAGTGGCGTACTCTTATTTTTATGTATGATTAGTTCATTCAC